AAAAAGTAGAGAAAAGGAGAAATGTGTTGAATTGCATAAGAAAGAGTGACAGTGTGTCTCTCTAACCCCCTTGAAAAGAAGTAAATACTCAAATGAGTCAAGAAATGTGTGCCAAAATGAATCAAAAGAAGTGCTTAAGGGAAGATTGAACCCGCTTGAACAAAATCATGTCCTATCCTTGCCGAAAAGCCTTTACAATGACTCCACAAAAGCCCTATATGATCTTGAGTTGAACAAAACCTACATTAGTGGACACTTACATAAAGGGCAAGCATATGGTACCTAGAGCCGGATTTGTGACCTTCTTTTTTAGAGAATTGAGTGAAAATCCCATCAACCTCGGTTTGTGTGTCACTACTTTAAAAGGTGAGGTCCACTTAGGGAGAGTTGAGGATGTTTGAGTTTGGGTTCCATAATGACCAAGGTATTTGAGAAAAGCTCTTTGATGAAATGTGTCAACCCTTGATGCTCTTGTGGCACACTTGATCCATAGTTTTCAAAAGCCTAAAATGTGTTAATGATGCATTCGTATTGAGGGCAATTGTTAGTCCCAATTGATGCTTGTTGAGGTACTCTAGGATAGTTGGAAATTCTTGGATTGCTCTTTTGGGGTAGGTCTTATTTTGTTTGCTTGAGGACAAGCAAAGGTTTAAGTTTGGGGGAGTTGATAAGTTAGAATTGTAGCATGATTATACCCCTACTTGCTATTGCTTTTGTTATGAATTGCCACAAAATAATCCCAAAATCCTTACAAGTTACGCTTGATTGCAGGTTTGAGCGACAAGATGACAAATGTCAAAGATCGGCTCAAAATGGAGTGAAACCTGCCAAGTGTCAAAGACCAATTGAAGTGGGGAGCAAGAAGACCTAGCGCGAACCGCACTGATTTGCCACGCGGCCGCGCTAGGAGATTCATAGACTGGGTCATTCAAAGGGCAATCTACGCGGTCCGCGCTCCTTTTTACGCGGTCCGCGTAGATGAGATTCAGAGAGATGGTGTTTTTGCCAAAGTACTGCCACGCGGCCGCGCGCCTTTTTTACGCGGTCTGCGCCCGTCCTGAAACGCGGCCGCGCTCCATTTCTGCGCGGTCCGCGGTCCCAACTTCAGAGAACAGAGTTCAAAGAGTCCAAGAGCCAACGCGGTCGCGCTCCCTTTTTGCGCGGTCCGCGCCTACCCCGCAGGCGCATTTTTGTCCAGATTTTCTAGCTCGGTATAAATAGATCTTTTTGACATTTTTAGGTCAGATTTTAACTACTGAACGAGAGCTGCGCTCGTGAGAAGTATTTTGTAGCCTAATTTGGCAATTTTACTCTTGAATATCATAGATTTTAAGTAGTAATCAATTATTATGTTCATTTCATCATCTATTTCTACTGTTTTCTCTTTAATTATGTCTAGCTAAACCCATTAGCTAGGTTGTGGCTCAACCCTAGTGTGGGTAGTTAATGGGTGTTGCATTCTAGGGTGAGATTGAGATTGGGTATTTGTTATTTGGGTTGATTTTGTGTTTCAATCTAGAATTTGTGGTTGCAAACATGAATTCAAGCTTTAGCGGGTCTAACTCTTCTTGAGAGAGAGAGTCATATGACCCTAAAAGTTAACCCAACAAGGAATTGGGATGGACCCACGAGAATGGTAGTCCCAATTAACGGGTTAAACCTCGAAAGAGTAATTACCCCACTTGAGCCCTAGTTGCCCGGTCTAATTGGTCTCGAGAGAGTCAATTGGGCAAAATCGTTCTCTCTACCGAGAGGTGTGAGAATGAGTGCAATTGTGCAACGGCTATAGCACTAAACCCAGATTTATCAATCTCCCCTTAGTAGCTTCTACCCGTTAGCTAGCCACCTAGGTAGTGTCACAACCCTAGTGCCTTTTTCCCATATCAAGCACAACTTAGCAATATTTTCTTAGCATAATTTAGCTTTAATTCTTAGGTTACAAAAGTAGTTTTAAATATAAAAACCCTCAAAAATGTTAGGAGTGCAATTAGAAGTACAAACGCAATTCTAGGCTAAACCGGCAATACAACTCCATTCCAAGCTCCCTGTGGAAATTCGACCCCGATCCACTATTCGGGTATTAGTTATTGCTACCCACTCTTACAACCATTGTGTAGTGTTGAGACGGCCGCGATCAAGTTCCTCGAGCATTTTTGCGATAGCGGGATTAGTTTCCGATTCTCCTCCATTCGACCTCTTTGGCACCGATTCGGCTCTGTGAACAACTTCTTGTGATGGCTCGGACTCGATCCTGCTTGGTGCACGATTTTGATTTTTGAGTTGTGCTATTGCAGCTTGTTGAGTGTGCAACATTTTGAATATCATTCGAAGGCTAATTCTGCCTTCTTCACTGCTCTATGCGTTTTGGCCGGTTGTTCGAGCATCTCTGCGGGCGCTATTTTTAGGATCGATGCCCAAATTTCCATTAATGGCGATATGGGAGCTGACGTCGATCGGGTCCACGGCCGGATCTCCATCGGGGTTGACTAGAGGTACTCCGTTTCCGGGGCGGCTATGTTTCCGTTCTCACCGTGGAAATCAAGGCCATTGTCTATGTGTTCGGGTGCTACTTGAGCGTTTGACATGTTGATCCTGAAATCAAAGTCACTTACGAGAACAAGCATAAACCAGTGTGTGTTATGAGAATTAATACCAGGCAATCACTATTATCCTTAGCCCCACGGTGGGTGCCAAACTGTTTATTAAAATCGGATAACATTTAAACTTATAAGTGGTTTTAAGGATACGTAATTTTACCTAGTACCAGTTGATAAATACAATGATTAATAATATAAATTAACAGCAAAGTAAAGCAAACCAGTATTGAAATGCAATTCTGCCCTTGAGCTAGGTCGCCCTCGAACTGACTGAAAGTAGAGTTATGGAATATGAAATAAACTGATGAACAAAACAATATAAGAGAAAAAGAGTGTTGCATTGCTTTGATATGCCAGAGTCAGATGGTTACAAATGATTAGAACCCCCCTTTTGTATAGTACAATTCTAATTACAGAAGGTAATCCCATGATTAGCTAAACAACCGTACTTGATTTGATCCATTCCGGGATTTTCTCCATGATTCTCGACCAGTCACGGATATCTCGCCTTTCCGTTATTATACTATCTTCGGTCTTGCTCGATGTCTATCCTGTTTGGTCTCGATCATTTTCGGTCTCGATCTTGACAGGTACTTCGAATCTCGAAGTCACTACCTTATACTCATGTTTCGATCTGATATACTGCGGGGCCGATCCTCGATCCGTCCCCTGGTCCCAGTTACTCAGTGAAATCGGGTGGGCTCGGCTTTAACCGTATACAGAATTAATTTGGGTATACTTCGATTATCTTACAAAATTTTACTTTCACTTTTACTGATATAAGTAGATAATTTTGCCCATCAAAACTTAAGAATATGCTATCTCTTACCAATATAATTATCAATAACGCTGCCATCAAAGCTTAGATGAAAAGTAATTAATCACCTAACACTCTTTCACCTCCATTAAGGTAAAATTATGAACACTGGTTTTTCATGATTTTCATTCCAAGGTCTTTAAGTGTATGACTTGTGTAAACTTCATCTTTTAATTAACCGTTGTTAATTACAATTAATATGTATTTATTTAATTTACTTTGATTTGATGCATGCATTGGGTTCTACCTAATTTTTCATTGAATTAGCTAGATCTTCCTCCACAACCACAAGATTAGGCCGTACTAATATATATGGTTTTGTTCTTATGCTTTTGGTTTATGATTCGACGAAATCAGATTCCTTTGATTTTCTTGAGGACTTCTGCTGTTTCATGCACTTGACCAACTGGCGATATATTTTAATTGTACCACTAGCTAGTTAGGTTTTTCATGTACTCACGGGTTCAAACCGTGGAAACAGGCTCTTGCAGAAATGTAGGGGAAAGCTGCATACAATAGACTCTTGTGGTCCGACCCTTCCCCCGACCCCGCACATAGCGGAAGCTTAGTACACCGGACTGCCTTTTTACTCGGCTCGAGGTGGATGACTCAACCTTCTCTTGCTAATCTTGCCGACAAATTTAGGAAGATTTATTTAATTTAAGAAAATGTAGTAATTTTTTGTTCTTTTACAAATCTTTTCTGAAGTTAAAGGAGAATAGGACCAAAATATTCCCTTAAGAGCTGCTAAAATTTTGTCAGGAGCAGTAGTGGGGGACCTTAAATATTTAATTCCTCACATTTACACCTTTTAAAAGATGAACTGAACAATGATTCGCTAAATACTCACCTGCTCACGGTATTTTATATTAAATTAAAAAATTAACTTTAGCAATTATAAAGTAAGAATAGATATCATTTAACCCTGGTGAAGTAATCAAGGTGTGTATAAAATATACGTGTCTTACCTTCATTGGTTTTATGTTAATATTGAATACACTTAATTTTTAACCATTCACAGGGAAGAACGTACACCATTCAAAACCTTATTGATGAATTATTTAAGTTCCTAAGGAACCAATAATGAAATTGTTTGGAGCAAAATACAAAATTGGCCGATCGTTCCAAACTAATTGCTATACATTTTATCGGCCNGAATCGCTGAAGAGAATGAAAAAAAAAAAAAAAAAAAAAATATATATATATATATATATATATATATATATATATATATATATATATATATTTCTGAAAAGTTTTACCTACTTGAAACCTACGAAGTGGACGAATTAAGTTGTGCCTTGGCTTTGTTTCCTGTAATATAGTATATAGGAAAAGGTTCACATTGGTTTTGAGTTTTGACTGATGATTTTGTTAACCAACAAAATTTATTTGATTATGCTGGTTTATAAATGAGAAAAGAACTAATTCCATGTACTATTATTTCTCTAACTTCTGTTCATCATGTTGCCTACTTCGGAAGTTCTATATAAAGCCAAGTGATTAAGAAACAAGAAAAAAAATAACAAAAGGTATATACTTCTAAAATATGAAAACATTCGTAATTGAATAATCTAGTCCATAAATCAAACTAAAACTTCAATGAACATTTAAAAAAAAAATTAAGAATTACATGTGTGGGGATTAAGTCAACCCCTGCCTTATTGCGAGATAATATTTACAAGAGTTGGTTACTTGAGAATCTACAATTACATAAGTTAGGGGCAATCTTTCTAAAAACATGATTATGTACAAATAGCTGATAACAATAATAATAACAGTGAAATCCTCACTAATGTTTGCTTTAACATGAGCATGACCTGTCCAAAAGGCATGACAAGTCCAAGACGGACACGACCGTTGTAGTGAAATCAACGCAAAGGACATCCTTCAACAACTATGCCCTTGGTAGTAGGACAAGTAGCCAAATCACAATATTCTCCCCCAGTTCCCCACCAAGAAAACTTAATATCACCAAGACAGAAATATATAAACACTCCCATAAAAGCCAAACCAGCATCCAATGCAGCCGAAAGAACATAATTATACTTTTGCCACCATTTCTTTCTGTATCTGAAAATGAAGAAATTGAACAATACACCAAAGAAAATCCAGCTGTTGAAGTTCAAAGGTGTTGCTGGAGGCATAGAAGCTGTTGCCCCTAGAAGTACTGGAATATTAATCAATTTAATCCAACTTTGACTTGGGAATGCTTTGTGTAACAACCATACCAATAGTGGTCCAATTGCACCACCAAGAAAGAACCAGTTCTGTGCACTGTAATTTCCAAGTGAACCAAACATTCTTTTAGGTCCTACTAAACCCCAGATTACTGATGCATCGAAGAAGACGCGATTCCCTGGACATGTCCACGGACTATTTGTAGGGAGCAGTTGATCTTGGCATATATGATCAATGTTTGTAAGCAGCCACCACGCGACACTCATATTTATTGTACCAGCAATGAGAGTTCCGAGTAGCTGTTTTGGTAACAAAAATAAAAGTTTCAGCCAAGGTCAGCAACAGAATATTGGACTGAGACAGGTATAAATGACGCAACATTCATACTGAGAATTCATATACTCAACCCCAACTTGCTAGGGATTGAGACGTATCTATAGTTGTTACAGAAATTTTTAGTTATTCCAAATTCCAATTGGGAAAATGAGGAGTAGCGGTTTATTAATTTCTCCACCAGAAAGCTAACGACAATAGGACCAAAATTGTCGTGATGTTATTTATTTCTAGTGCAACTTGTGTCACAGATATACTATAAGGACTAAGTAAGCGTAACTCATGAAGTAATTTAGAGATCTTCTGGATTAAGAACTCAACTTGTAAATTAAGAAAAAAAATTGAAGTCTAATAAGCCATAACTTTATACAGTATTACTTGTCCAGTATAAAGTTAAAACAAACTAGTTCATGTACGATCAAGAAAAGAATTAAGATGGTTGATAAGTTTACTTCATGAATATAGTCAGTTTTCTTTTACTTAACAAAAACAGGGAAAAGAGGAGGAACACGAGTAATTAATACCTGAACAATGAACATTGATCTTGGAGGAATCTTCATATAATGGCCAAGCTTAAAATCCGAGAGAAATGAAACTGCCTGTGACATACTAATATACCCAAATGTTTTAAAGCAAACATTGGCTATTGGTCTCCCTGGAATTATTAGACCGATAATATACTCTGTGATCACATTTAGTCCTGGCGTCTGTCATCAGAACCAAAAGTTTGTTTAGTCAAGAAGATTCATTAATGCATCCAAAAAAATAATTGTATTTATTTATATACATTGTCGAGTAAAAACTTTTGTACTATCGATGCAATTTAATCTTATGTTATCTTTTAGGTGACCTGATAGTGCAAAATTCTTTTATATTGTGAGTGTAAAGGAGTTTAATTCAAGACAATTTCACAAATATAAGCTCACAATCTAATTACCATGTTTGTCGTGGCTGTAATGATGCTTATGGGGAGAGTGAAAATCAAGGCAATGGCAGCTGCAAAAAGAAGCCCCCACCATGGTAGTTGAACTTGATCTTCCCAGACGATGCATAGTACAAGTGACAAAGCCAATGAAAGTACAAGCATGCCGTGAAACCACCAGCTAGGGATGTCTGCATATTTCTTCATAAGTCTTGTGTGGATATCAGGTTTTCCTGAGTTTATAGCTCGGAATCGCTCATATATTTCCCTGTTCAATCAACTCGTCAGCATAAGTAGTTTTGTGACGTTTGTAAAGTTGAGTAACTTTTTCGTTACTAAAAATAGTTTAGTAACATTGATACATTTGAGTGACCATACAAAATTAAAAAGTGTACTTACTTTCCATTGAATAGAGCAACTTGAGCAAGAGTAGCCACAACAGCAGCGAAATTCAGGCCATAAGTAAGAGCAAAGAAAGTGCTTATATTTATGCGTCCTTCTTTTGCATATGCCACCTCGTCTAACTCAAACTTGTCATTAACAATAGCTGTAATATCATATGTCTGCCCTTGAGCATTAAACAAATGAGAAGATAACAGAGGAAAAGTCCTGGCGTTGTAGATGTTGAATCCCCAATAGGAAATTGGAATGAGTATATAGACCACAGCAACATAGCCCACTATAACATTGATAATGGCAAATAAGGGACAGACCAGAGGGCTACCAAGATATGATGCTACAACTGACCAATCAAAAGTGAATGACAAAATTCCAAGGCCTTTCATTCCTGAACCAATTTGTTGGGCTAGTACTGATTTTGGATAGAATAAGCAGAGTAAAGAAATGTTTGATAATGTTGGGAAGAGAAAGCCAGGGACAATGTACCAAGTGAAGCTGCAAGCTAATACAACTAAGAAGAATTTTCCTCTTGAGCTTTTCCCATCTGCATCTTTTTCATGGAGAGCCCTGCCAAAATTCATGAGAATTTCAACTTGTTATATGGTATTTATGCAGCGAGGTTCTCTGAGAAATAATGTGGAAGAAATGAGTAAATAATTTAATTGTCGTTCTAGTTCAATTCTTACAAGTTATATACTCCCTCCGTTCCATTTTATGTGAATCTATTTCCTTTTTGGTCCGTTTAAAAAAGAATGACCCCTTTCTAAATTTGGAAACAATTTAGATTAAATTTACTATTCTGCCCCTAATGAGAAGGTTTTATAACCACACAAATACTGTGGGCCCCCTTTGTGACTTGTTTAGGACCACAAGTTGCAAAAGTCTTCAATTTTTCTTAAATTATGTGCGCAGTCAAACAGGTTGACATAAATTGGGAATGCAGGGAGTAGTTTAATAAGCTAGCAAGAGTATATTACTTAGGAAATATCTTCCAAACTGGGCAGAGAGTTAAAAATAATTACTCCCTCTGTTTCAAAAGGAAAGAGGAATTCAAAATATGACGGCCAAACTTTCTAATTTTCGGACAGTGACTTCTTAACCTTTTTAAAACAAAACTTCCATCATTAAGAACTAGATAAAAAGTAGTACAAGAAGGTTATTACTTTTTCAATTAAAAAAATTTAACAGCATATATGAGAATTTAAAGTCGTGTTAAATTTTTTTTGAAATAGCTTGACTTTCCAAATAGTAATAGTGTCATATAAAACAAAACGGAAAAAGGGCAGTCGATGCACAAAGTATTCCGCATTCACGCAGGGTCGGGAGAAGGGTCGCACCCCTAGGGTGTGATGTAGAAGCCTATTCTAAAGCAAGCATTAATGGCTACTTTCGCAGCTCGAACTTGTGACTTATAGGTCACACGGAGACAACTTTACCGCTTCTCCCAGGCTCCCTTCGTATAAACGGAGAAAGTAATAATTATCTATTAGGACGAGCAATAATATAAAAGAAGCGCCAATCCAAGGAGCAACAATGGATATTCTAGGCTAATAATAAGCTAGAGAAAAGTTGGAAGTTTGAGAAATTATACCTGAACAGAGAGACTAGAACCATATTACCAGGCCACCACATTTCTGCAGGGTCTACCACATACTTTCTCATAATCCCTGCCCATCCATATCCCAGAACCTGATCCAAAGAAGCTGTATGAGTTTATTTCCAGTTGATAAGCTTAAACTTTTAAATGAGATGATCATACAATTCAAGAATGTAGACACTAGAGGCGCAAACTCATCCTCGATGCCCACTATTCGACCAGTAATAGACTAGGACAACGTCTCCCAAATGAAGGTTGATTTTAGGAATTATTATCAGATTTAACGTAGGTACATAAAGATACACATACAGAGAACATATTTTCAATACAGTGCATTTTTACTTATATATGTGGTTCGGGTTGAAAGCAGGTATCAGTTACCAAGGGTTAGATTTTCATGCAATTGAATTATTCATAATTAAGGAGTTCTTTTTCCTAATTTGTGATGTAATGCATGTAGAAAAAAAGTATAATGCTCGTACTATAGAGGAAAAATACCTGAGTAGTAACAACTAGAATCCAACCAGCCACGAAGGAGATGTTCCTGAGATAGAATGCCTTAATAATAGTCACAATTGAAACAGCATATGCTGTCCCAGAACCACAATTTGCAAATATCGAAATCAATACATGTTCTTTCATATTAAATGGTCCTGGATTAAGCGAAAACTCCCATGATTCTATCTTAAATTTCCTCGTAGGCAACACTCTAGCCATGATCTTGCCGAGTGGCAATGCTGCTATCTGGACAGTTATCATACTAATGCTAAGTGGCTGTGTCCGATAACTGAAGAAAGTGTTGAGAAATGCCAGAATTCCACACGACAGGATTCCGAGGAACCACATCCGAAATGTCCATACCGGTAGACTAGGGTCGTCCTGATTTGATACAGTCAACCTTGTCGAGACATAATATAATTAAATAATTAGAAGTGTCCAAACATAATAATATACATAGTTTAAAGGCCAACTTTTAGATGAGATAGCGATACAATTCTAACATACCTGACTTGTTCTATCGGGGATTCTTCATCTTCAGGAATTTCTTCTTCAAATTCCTTTTCTGTTCTGTTTTTCTCTGACATGTCGAACTCCATGGATTTGGTGACAATAGAATGATGTTAGAGGCAAAAGGAAAGAGAATTTTAAGGGTACCGTCAACTTTTAAACTGCTGCTAATTAGTTTTCTATTTATTTTTTATTTTTTTGGTTTTTGGGAGATTGTATTTACAAAGGAGATGAAAATTTCCCTGGAAACTTTCCGGTTTGAATTATTCTAATCTGTTAATGAATGGTTCATTAAATAAACTGCATGGATGATTATCTCATATGTTAATTTCTACCTACACATGAACTTTGAAAACCTCTCTGTATTTTCAACTTAGAAATTTTTACCATCACCCCTCCAACCCCCTCACACGATATATATCGTGGATTTACAAAGATTTTGATTGTGCTGCAATTCTCTGATTTTTTTTTTTTTTTTCTGTTTTCCCTTTTTGAGGGAAGGGGGGGGGGGGGGGATTGAAAAGGTTTAACGAAAATATAGTTGTGATTGTCAATTATATAGGGTTATAGTGTAAACATAAAGCAAAATCACTATTTAAGCTAAAATAGTGAGATCACGTACGAAAGAGAGAAGAAACAGGAAAAAGTGGTTGTGAAGATTGAGAGATCAAGAAAATTTTCTATGGTGAAATACAAAATAATACTCCATTGATTATGTACTACTGAATTAGTGGCTTACATAGAATATGTTGCGTATTTTGTTAGTGCATGTAGCAATGGTTGTATTCAAAATTCATGTAACAAATGTAGAGTACCAATATTATGGGAAAAATGGAAAAAGAGAAAATAGGAAAAGAATGAATAAAAGAAACAGGGGAAAAGAGGAAAAGACTTTTAAAAAAAATAAACATAAGATGTATGCTTGTTTGGGACCGCCAATAAATTAAAACGAAATAGAGATAGTGGGATGTATATCAATGGCGGATTCAGAATTTAAACTTTGTAGGTCAAGTATAATATTCTACCACATTTCAGTTGATTAACTAGGTTCAAAAATAATTATTTATATTTATTTGGTGAATTTTTTAACACATATAGCCGTGACAAAGCTATCCATAATTGACCCCTACCTCCACCCGTTATACATATTGTAATATTAAGAATCTACATTTATAAATTATAATCTCCATCAAGGGCAGCTCGGTGCACTAAGCTCCCATTATGCGCGGGGTCTGGGGAAGGGCCAGACCACAAGGATCTATTGTACGCAACTTTACCTTGCATTTTCTGCAAGAAACTGTTTTTACGACTCGAACCCGTAACCTTCTGGTCACATAAAAATAACTTTACCAATTATGCCAAGGTTCCTCTTCAAAATTATAATCTCCATCAATTATTGAAATTCAGGAGAAATTTAGACGTATTCGAATTAAGGCAATAGGAGGTACAAAAGGAACTGAAGGTAGACTACTTATTGACATTCATGATAAATGTCATGGGCCGCTTTTCGGCCTTGTCCTATGACCCCTTGGTTGCGCCCCATAGTGCCCTGCCCTGGTAAGCCTCTCGTCGCCAAGTTTCATGGATGGCCCCGTGATTTTGGCTGCATCAGGCAACAAGTGTGCATGTGCCTATATTGCCCCGCCGATAGCCAGCGCCTGCGCAAATAACAGTGACGGTGCTTAAAAGTGCCCGTTACCAGGCAGCGCCCTCAGTGCCCATGCGCTCATGCCCCGCGCACAGCAGGCATTGATTGATGCTACTGACAAGGTCTTCGCCCTAACAAGTGCCGGCCACTGGACAAGCTTTTCCTTTGTATAATCCTAGGTCCCTTTCCACGTAAATGTCACGACCCAAAATCTAACCATGGTCGTGATGACGCCTATCGTGTTATAAGACAAGTCTATTTCCAAAATATTACTACTAATTTGATTATAAGAATTTAATAAAATATTTTCAATAATTTAATTCCTGATAAACTAAACTAACTCTAAATATAAATAATATAAAATACGAAAACGAGTCCCAAATATCGGGGTGTCACTAAGTCATGAGCGTCTAAAACTATGAACTAAGATATATAAACTGTCTAACTGTCCAAAATAAGAAATGACAAAAGGAGTAACAAGGTCCTGCGGACGCTGGCAGCTACCTTGCAGTCTCCAATTAAAGTCGGCCTGAACTCAATGATCGCCGCGCTCTAACTCACCTGGATCTGCACATAAAGTGCAAGGTGTAGTATGAGTACAACCACCTCAGTAGTAACAGAAATGACTAAGGAACTGAGCAGTAGTGACGAGCTGAGCAAAACAGTCCAATTATTTATTTTTCACAATTTTAAAAAAATAACAGGAATAAACAGGTAAATTCCATAACTCAGTAAATGCCACAAAGAAATTTAACAGATAAATGCAGCAACAGCAAAAGTAAATGCAACCTCACAGTAATGTCACTCCATCACTCAGCACTCGCACTCAGCGCTCAACACTCAACACTCAATACACTCAACACTCTGCGCTCACTGGGGGTGTGTACAGACTCCGGAGGGGCTCCCAAACCCCAAGCGCTAAGCACGGACAACTCACGTGCTACCATATCAATACCTGGATCCGCACGGTTAACTCACGTGCTACGTGGACAACTCACGCGCTATGGTATCAATACCTAGACCCGCACGGTCAACTCACGTGCTATGGTATTAATATCCTCACAACCAGGCCCTCGGCCTCACTCAGTCATGTACCTTACTAGCCTCACCATCATCAACAAATAAGGGAACACAACCCACATCAAGTATCACAACATATTAGCAAATAATAGAGACTGAGGTAAACATGTACAATAATTTCTATGACTGAGTACAAATAATGTGGGCATGAATAAAATCTAAACAGGATCTCTAACATGAAGGCAAACAAGTTCAACAACAAGTAAACACATAACCACAGATAATAGCCATTAGGCCTCACAGCCTCATGGGACGGACCAAGTTTCAATCCCTCGCGGTGCACACCCACACGCCCGTCACCTAGCCTGGGCATCACCACCAAACAATCACATGATATTAATTTCTCCGGGTTTATACCCTCAAAGCCAGAGTTAAAACTGTTACTTACCCCAACAGCGTAAAATCCTACTCCGGGATGTCCTCGTCCCTCGACTCGGTCTTCAAAATCTTCGAATCTAACCATAATCAGAATGCTACTATCAACATAGTCTAAAAAATCGGATTACACAATAAAAACTACATAAACATGCCAAAAATCCGAAATCGGCCAAAACTCGGCCCTCGGGCCCACGTCTTGGAATCAGTCAAAAATGGCAGAATAATAATTCTCGTCCTCTCCCGAGTCTAACCATATAAAATTTGTCAAAATCGGACTCCGTTTGGTCCCTCAAATCCTCACTTAAAACTCTCCAAAACTCAAACCCTAACTCCCTCAATTTCACTTTGAAATCATCAATCAAATCCCAACAACGAAGATGGATTCATAAATTATAATCAAAATCGAGTAGAGAACACTTACCCCAATCCATATGGTGAATATCGCCTCCAAAATCGCCCAAATCCGAGCTCCCCAACTCAAAATATGACCAAATGAACAAACCCTAGTTTTGTATATTTTTCTACCAGCTATTCTGCCTCGTTTCTCGAGCCAAACGATCCCGAAACTCATATTTTATGCCTCCAATGGATTTCTTGTGAAATTCTAGTCAAGTTAGGCTTTTGAATTACTCAATTTGACCTTATAACGAAGGAGATATGTAGGTTTTAATATTTGCAAATAGTGCAGATTTTTAAATACGCCATCAGTGACAATTTCGTAATTAATCTGAAAAATCTGGCAAACCTAATACTTAGTAAAATAACCATAAAATCCTCATACGATGTCCAAATTCGATGATTCTTTTTGCTACAGGTCCGTAATTACGATACAGATCTAATGCTTCAATCAAAAAAGAAATCGAAGCTCATTTGTTCAGTATGATATCATTTATGCTTGAAGAAACGACGTCGAAACATAAGAAAACGAGCGCAACACAACCCAAACCTATCCGAAACTCACCCGAGGCCCTCGGGACCTCAACCATAAATTCCAACAAGTCACATATCACTACCTGAACTTAGTCGAACCTCCGGAACACCCCAAAATAACACCAAAATACCAAATCAACCTCGAATTCAAGCCTAAGACTTTTAACTTCCAACTTTCGCCAATTCAAGCCTAGTTCTACCCAACAAAGCTAATCGAATCATAAAAATCCAAATTCGAATTCTTTTACACATAAGTCAACTTCCGGTTGACTTTTCTAACTTAGCTTTCTAACTAAGAGACTAAGTGTTCATTTCACTCCAAAACTACTCCGAACCCAAACCTACCAACTCGATACAACTCAACACAGCTGACCAACATATAAATAAGCATAGATGGGGGAAATGTGGCTATAACTCTCAGAACGAACGATCGGGTCGTTACAGTAAATATATAGTAGTTTTACTTCTTGTATTTGCATTATAATTGTCTGGCTTATTTATGTCTACTCCTGTAACTTAGGTTTTTATTTTTAAGACATATATAAGGGGGTATAGTCGTTGAAGTTTTCTGCAAGCAATCAAATCTCTGTATTGGTGTCTCCTCCCCCTGACACCACATTGGCTTTCTTGTAATCATTATTCTCTGTTAATACAAGCAAGCTTTCATTCAATTCTCTTTTCAATTCTCTCGTAGCAAATTTTGATCTTGATATTGACTTTCCTGCACGACGCTAACAGTCTAATCTAGCGTGCAGAGAAGGTCTTTGGTTGGCGAGAAGTAATCGCATGGAAGTCGGTCGCTTTGCCTTACGTCGCCCTTCTTTGGTTGGCGAGAAGTAATCACATGGAAGTCGGTCGCTTTGCCTTACGTCGCTCTTTCAAGACATCTCAGAAAGGCGCCACGTCCGTAACATAAAACATCATATTAACAACTTAAATATATAATTCGAATAAATAGAAAAATATGTTTGTGACTAATAATTCAATAAATGTAGTTCGCATGTTTTAATTTTTAGGTTGAATTTGCATGCCCCTGTAAAAAGAAATGCTCTTAATTATTTTATTAGCATTGCTTTACTAAATTAGTGAAAAAATATTGATTATATATGGGCCTCGGTTGGATATATAATTAGATTACTTATTGTAGTTCCATGTTGGATTATGACTAGGATTGACAGGTTTTTCTGAGATATTAAAATTCACCAATTATAGTGAAAATGGTACAATTCAATTCATACAATGATGGTATTCTATATAGTCTCGTTGGTTTGATTTTAAGACCTAATTTTTGTCGACCCGATTCGGTTAAAGCTTCAATTACTTGCTGCAAATTTATTTTCTAATATCGACAGATGAAAGTATTGTTGGTAATGATTCAATATTTATCATGAAGTAAACTAACATGGCTCTTGGGCAAGGATGACAAACACGAATCGAGAAATGATTCAAATATTAGAGAA